CGACTGCTGTAGCGACCGAATCCCCCGTTCGTACGTTTCTACAAGCAGCTACCGTTTCAATATCCGCGGCTGACCTCCGCAGCGTTCCCAAGCTGACTGGAGACCGTACAGAAAACGTGATCGAAATCTTGAAACATTTTCGTACGGTGGTTGGGCTGAAAGCCGCAGCCGTCAACACGGATTCGTCGTTTGCTGATGGGGTTGCACTCAAGCACGTTGCCCTGGTGGGAACAGGAGAAGTGTTGACCCTGATACAGCAGATCTTGTCTGGACAGATAGACTGTTCTAAGGCAAGCACGTTCACAGAACCGGAGGAAAAAGGGTCGTTTCCCCCTCCGACCACGTGGGATGCCATGTGTTCTGTTTTGCTTGATTCACTTCTTCCCGCAAATTCCGTGGAGGAGGAGGCACACAATCTCGCAACGTTCGTTCAAGGGCCACAGGAATCTGTTTCCTCGTATGCTCTCCGTTTCCGTACTGTCATGGCACGGTTCCAAGCTGCCGTCGAGCGTGATGGTAGTCGTACTGCTTGGAATTGCATGACAGTCGCGCTTTGGCAAAATGGGTTGACTCCGGAAGTTCGTACGCTTCAACGGGGATACACTCCCGTGAAGTCACTCAAAGAGGCCATTGATAGAGCGCGTCGTCTTGAGGAGTCGGAACCCGTCATCACTGTTTCGGCAACTCACTCCGTATCGTCTACCACCACTCGTGCCGCGGCTGTGTTCCAGGCGCGTCCTAAACAGAGGGTGACTTTCAAACAGTCACCCACCCTGCGTCCGCCGACACAACAGCGTGGAACACCCGCAGCTCGTGGCCGAGGTTCGGGTAGAGGTGGTGGTCAGCGTCGACCGTCGTTCGATCCGTGCACCCACCCCTCCTGTCGGTCGCACAAGACTCACCCGATCGAGCGCTGCTGGGTGAGGATCGCGGAGGAAGAAGAGCGTCAGGGTCGTTCCGCATCGAAGCGGTCCCGTAAAGATCGTCGGCGAAAGCAGAAGGACGATTCGTCGGACTCCGAATAGGGGTGCCCAGGTGTTGTGCCCGCAATACTTGGGAAGAAATCTGCTGCTGCCGTAGTAGTTTGCAGTAAGGGCGTGAAAAGATCTTTTGATCATTTTACGTCACTTGCACGTTCGTCTATGTCGTCTAGTACTCCGAGTTATAGATCGTGTCCGAAGAGTACAAATCGACTTGTAAATAAGGCACATGCGTCCCCTGTCGTAGAACAACCACATAGAAGGTTAGAGCGTTCAGTGAACGCAGCCGATTTAGACGTGGTTGATAGAGAGTCCCCTGTGGCATCACGTGACCGTCAGAGTGCCAAGAAAACAAGGGCCGACAGGATTGTTGCCGTACCGGAAAAAGTATCGGAGCGTAAGAAGAGGAAGAGGAAGTCGGATGGAATTAAACAACGTGTTTCGTGGTACAGCTCAGCGCTGGCGCGGAAAAAACCGTCTCTGTCTCTGTCTTTTTCATCCAAACGCGTTCGCGCTTCTGGATATATCGATGGTCAATTTCTTTCCGAAATCACCATCGATACTGCAAGTGACGTCACGTGCGTTTCACTTTCGTTTTAGAAACAGCACCCATCGTTATCGTTTGCTCGAATAGAGCCAATACCGTCTCCGTCCCTAAAACTCAGTGCCGCAAATGGTGCACCAGTCAAAGTTTTAGGATTTATTTCGTTCGTTGTTCGGTTGGGAGACGTATACTGGCAGATTCCTGTTCATCCTGACCATGTCGAAAGGACAGCCTTTGTCATCAACTCTGGCAAGTACTGTTACGGGCGGATGCCGGTTGGTGTTTGTAATGCCCCGTGGATTTTTGCTGAGATGGCCCATAAAACTTTACGCCATATTCCCGGATGTTGATCTACATGGATGATTTCTGTGTGCTTTCAGCAACTTTCGAGAATCATATGAAGTCTTTGGAGAGCATGTTCGTAGCTCTCCAAGCAGCAGGTCTGACAATGAAACCTTCGAAGATTTCGTTTGGCCCCAAGTCCATCGAGTATTTGGGGCATATTTCGGCTGAAGGTATTTCTGTCGGGAAGGATCATATGAAAGCCGTCCAAAACCTTCCTACTCCTCGTTGCCTGAAAGATGTTCGCTCAGTACTCGGGGTGGTTAATTTTGTGCGCCGGTTCATACCGGATTACGCAGAAATATCCAATCCGTTGGTGGAGTTAACTCGCAAAGAGTACGCCACAAAATCACGTTTCGTAAAAGCTTGGAACAAATCGCACGACGCATCGTTCGCTCATCTAAAGCGGTTATTAACTTCAGCGCCCGTTCTACACTTCCCAGACTTCGATCGGGAATTCGTAGTTCNGCCAAGCGACGAAAACCCAACCCCGATGGCAAAACACCGGGGGGGGGGGTTGACGGTAGCGGGAAAATTGAACGTCGTACCCGATACGTTATCTCGTTTATTTGGCGAAATTGAGTCCGAAACCATATCACACAAACCGGCCCTAGCGTCGATTTGTAGGAATGTGCCGAGTGATCGTCCGTACCATCCTCCTGGCCCTCGTGACTACGAAATTTCTGCCGATTTGTTGAACGATGTTGATATTCGTCCATAATGACAACGAACTGTTCGCTAGTGCTGATCGTTACTTCCTGTACTGGACCCCGCTAAATTGCGAAGAGAACACTACAAAGAGTTCGGTCCGTATATTGACTACGTCAAGAAACCCAAAACAGCACCGTTACCGTATAGCGAAAATAAAGGCACCAAGAGTAATTTCTTCTTGATTTTTATTTATTCAGGTCGTATTTACCAGGGTATCTTCGTAAACGCAGTTCGTTTCGTGATCAACTTGTCGTTCCCACCGTTTTGCGTGCGTTAGTCTTGGATTCTTGTCAAGATGCTCCTGCGTCACGGGGGCATCTAGCGTTCAAAGCCACGTACGATAGGCTCAGAGATCGTTCTTGGTGGCCGACCATGTCTAGAGATGCGCCCAAACACATCCAGCATTGTTTGTCGTGCCAACACCGAAAAACGTCCCACAGACGACCGTTATTACCTGTGCATCACCGTCCCGTTACTCGTCCGTTTCAGTGTGTCGCGATCGATCTCGTTGAATATAACTCCGTATCGCAGGGTTGCAAGTACGACTTGTCGGTCATCGATCACCTGACTCGTTTTCTCGTGTTGATTGCTGTTCGCGATAAATAAGCAACAGCTTGCACAGGCTCTCGTAGAGCGTGTCTTTTTCGTTTTTTCTCCCCCTGAAACGTTACACAGTGATCAGGGCACTGAGTTCGAGAATGAGTTGGTTGAAGAGTTGCAGGCCGTGTTTGGTTTCAAAAAAACTCGGACGTCCGCGTATCGGCCGCAAGGTAACTCTGTATTAGAGCGCGTGCACAGCACAATGCATGGCATGCTCGCAATGTATGCAAACGTTTGGTTTGATAATTGGGCTGAGCTTTTACCGTTTGCGCAACTCACTCATAACACCGCGTACAACCAAACTCTTGAGGAAACTCCTCACTATCTGATGTTTGGTCACCAGGCTTGGCTTCTCGTGGATCTCATTCTTGGTGTACCGTTTCATGATAGCTCTGCTTCGCGTATGGAATATTCACGTCGTTCCGTGGATAACTTGCAACTCACGTATGAGATTGCTCGTCGTAATTTGAAAGAGCGAACTGACAAGCAAGCAGACCCGAACGAAAATTTATCCGTACCGCAGTTTACTCCTGGGGAACAAGTTATCGTACATCGTCCCCACACCGTTCTGGATGGCCCCGATCCCAAGCTGATCATCATCAGCCCTTGGCATGGCCCATTCACCGTTCGTTCAAAACTATCACCCGTCATCTATGGTGTTTGCAAAGACGGAGAACTTGCGGAAACGTCAGTACACTTGGGTCGTATGAAAAATTACTATGCTTTTCAACGTGATTATCTCCCCGGTTTTTCGGAATTGGATTCCTTCCGATTCCCGACATTGATGGTACCGTGTTTTCCGTAAAAATTGGACCGTACGTCGTCGAGGGGATAGACAAATTTAAACGTGCAGCAGGAAAACCGTCTCTCCATAACTTCCAATATTATTTCTTCCTCAAAGACCGTCCTGAAAGTCTTGGGTGTTGGAAGCACTTCAAAGAAGTACCCCAGTGTCACGAGATGATCCGTTCATATCGAGCGTGCGTTCTTCGTGATAATCCGCACGCCTTTGATCATCTTCCTAGAAAGTAGCACTCGTAGCTGCTTCGTATCGTGTCTCGTGCTGCGTTTGCCTTATTCGTTCCGTGTTTCGTTTATTTGACAAGGGCTATATTTTTATATATTTATTTTGTATGTACATACTTCGTATACGTTATTGTTCGTCGTCCAGCACGATCGTTTCGTAGTGCCCGCCGTCCCCAACGTTCCTTCGCAGTCCGGCCGGACATTGACGTTGTTGGTGGATACGCCCACGTTGGATGCAACACCTCGTGGAAGTCGGCAGGCGGAGCCTAGTTATCGTCGAGATTCGCCCTCCGCGAACTAAGCATGGTTGCGTGTCGTCGTTTCGTCGGACATGCAGAATAGCGCACGTCATTTTTCAGGCATGGCGTTGCCCGTTCGTTGTGTGATTTAATTTTACTATATATATTTCCCTGTTTGAAAGCCGTACGACATAGTACCTCGTGCGAGTTTCGTAAACGTTCTCAATTATGAATGGAACGTTCGTCCGTGTACAGACAATCGTGCGTGGTGTGGAGCGTCCATTGCCGTTGTGTCGCTGTCCTTGAGATACGAGTGCGTCGTATGGGGTCAGTTGCTACTTTATGTGAGCGAATATGCGTGATCGGAAGTTCGTCGTTTTCTCGTCCACTCCGTCCTGAATTGGGGGATGATATCGTCTCACTTGCAGTTCGGGGGAGTTGCAGTTGATAATCGACTTCTGGATCCATGCACTTTTTTTGCATTGTTCACACGGTTTTGTTCATGCCCGATTTGTCTTGTCGTTTGTGT